CGCTACTTTCCAAGCTTCTGAACGATGAGCCATGCTTTTATGGCAAATTGTAGGGACACGAGGCATTTTTAGGCCTCATGATTGATTGGAATTTTGCGTAGTATTAAAAAAAACGCCCTCGAAAAAAAAACCACAACAGCGTTGCAGCTCTAAAAATTAATTAATATTGATGGATTTTCGGTGGTACAAACCTTAATTGCCACATGGCCGGAGGAATTTTCCATAACTTTTAATTATAAGTCAATTTATCTTACATATACATAGCTATGCAGAAAAATTTATGGACTATCAGGAAGTTCATATATACATATTTGTGTGCCTATAAAGCAAATTGTGTTCTACCCAACAGCTCCAGCTACATACATATGTATGTATGTATTTAGTAAATAAATAAAAAAAGTCAAAGGAGCAGCGAAACGTGATTGACAAAGGCCGGCAATAATTCTTCGTTTTTTTTTTTGCGCTCCTCCTACTACGAGTACGTTTGTGAAGAAAACTTGTTATATTGCTGTTGTTGCGTTTATTTTTATTATTCGGTTTTCTGTTTTGCTAAAGGACTTGACAACATGCTGCACTAAATTTTCTTAGTGGCCTATAGTGAATATAGAAAAACAAAAAAAATATGTATGTAGATATGTATTTAGCTACATAGAAAGTGTTGTATGAAGAGCATATGAACTGAAAAATAAACATGCATACGTGCATGTGTACTATAGGGTGGTGCAAAAAAAAATAAGTTTGGAATTTTAATGCCATGGGGTGAAAAAATATACCCCGCTATTTTTATTTTGAAATCAAAAAATATTTAGAGGTCGCTCAAAGCGCTCAATGTTTTCCATGTATTTTATATTAGCCAGTCATATGCCATCATGTACTTCGTTTATTATATACAAAAAGATCTTGTCTAAGTCCGTTCAGTAGCGTGGTTAAAATATCTCGCCTTTCCTTTATAAGATGCATAGAAGATAGTAATTTTAAATAGGTGGCAACCGTACTCAAAAAAACTTAAAGTAAAGATCATATAGTTTTTAAACCGGTGGCAACCCTACTTAGAAAATAATATATTATTACACATCCAGAGGCTAAGTCTTTTCATTTGACAGTGACGGTGCAGAACTGACGTCTACGCTTATTAGAATTGAATATAGTAATTTTATTAACAGGTGGCAACCCTATTAAAATTCTAAATTAAAAAGGTCAATCTCCTATCGATACAGAATATATTCGAGAAAATTCGTTCAGTAGTTTTCGAGATTACTGCGTACAAGGAATCTCGACTTTCCTGTGTACCATGTATAGATGGGAAAAAACCATGTTTTCGTAGAAATGGTATAGAATTTTTGAATACCAATATTTTTCGATCTGAAAACTATGTTTCTCTTCAGGGGACTTCGAATAACAATATCCCATTATTTGTGTATTATTAACTATTAGCTATTACTAAATATTTTTTTATAGAACTCCCTAAAAACCTCAAAAAAAATGCAAAGGGGAACCCATAAAAAATCGGTAGTAATAAAAAATGGAATAATAAACAATTGGGTATTACTACTGGTAGTCTCCTGAAGAGTAACAAAATATTGTTGTATGAACAAAAAATATTGATTTTCAAAAATTCTATTCCATTTCTACGGTAAGTAGTTTTCTCCCATGTAAAAGACATGGAAAACATTGAGCGGACCTCTAAATATTTTTTGATTTCAAAATAAAAAACATGGTGTATCATATTTTCGGTATAGAACAATCCTAGAGGGTGAGATCGTTAAAATTCCGACTTAACTTTTTTTGGACCACGCTAATACATATTTTTGGATCACCCTAATGCACATATGTCCAAACATTCCTATATGTATTCATATACACAATGAAGCGGTCATAAACAACACCGTCAGTCACCGCGTTTAATTAAGGAAACGACTACTTGACATGTGGCGAGCAACCACAAAATATTGTATGCGAAAAGCACAACCAACAACAACCACAAAAACCGCAGTAACAAGAAAATCAATGCAACAACTTGACACTAAAGAAAAGGTATAAAGCGCGAAATAACCCAGCGATAAAATTCGGTATCGAAGGGCAGATTTCTGGGTGTTGTTGAAGAATTACTCAAGCGCCCGCCTTCTCAGCGGTTAAACTATTTGATCTGCGTTTGACCCAGGTTTCCTTTATCTGGCAGCAGATCTAATTGCGTTGATCAGCGACGAGGAATGCAAGCATTCTGGTACCAGTTGGCAGTGTGGGGCAGATTCGCTAACCACCTTGGTCTGGCCACCGTACCGTACTCTGGATACGCTGGCTGGTTGCGATGCAACTCCACATCTAGCCGACATAACGTAACTCTACCCGCATTTGGGTATAAAACCATAACCAGCACGATGCTTCCCGAAGGACTCACCGCAATGAAGAAAGTTACGGCAGTCTCCAGGAGCTCCTGCTCCCCGTGGTTAACCAGGCAGGTCGGGGCTTCTAGCCGAGGCTACTAACAGCTCAGCTTCCACTCAATCTCCCGGACTGTTGGCCGGTGACTAAGATGAAAACTTCATCGACCCTATACTCCGCTTCCGAGCTCCAGAGGAAATCACATTTGTAGAAGTAAATTCCACCTAACTTATGCAGTGGTTACTTGTGGTCGCGAGGATTATGTGTGCACTACTTGGAGCAGTTTCTGACTTGTCTTGCTAGGTCAAATCTTTCTGCACACCCGCTAAAGTGCTTACTCTATACCTTTTGCATTAATCTACACGCTGCTGTTTTTATTCTTGTTTTTGCTGCTGTTTTAGCTGCTACTTGGTGTCTACACAAAATCCTGCAGCTACAATGCATTTATTGAAGATACAAACTAAAAGATACAACACTTCGCTGTCAAATCGATGCAACAGACGCGAATGCTGGTAGAGAGGCGAAGTTGGTTGTTGGTCGTTGGTTGTGGCAGCAGTCAGCGTAGTTTGTTAAAAGTTAACGGGCTGACTACAATAGGGGAACAGCGGTTTTCGGCTAACAGGAATTACTAAATAACAAAAGGCCAAGAAAGCGGGTAAATAATGATAGGAACATTGTATGTGTCTGGCGATTTGTTGATTGAGGTGAAAATGTGCGCTGTTAGCTGAGTATGTAAGAGGTGCCTTTCAATGTTGGCTGAGCATACAAGTCACTCACTTATTCATTGGTGTTGCTTAGTCTAATATGTATGTATGTAGATGCGCTATGTTCGCTTTATGGTGGTTACTGTTAGTAGGTGGTCACCTCTTCTGGATATCGTTGACATTCGTATGAACTTGTTTGTTATTGTTCTTGCAAGCGTTGTATTAGACCAGGGCCGGCGAACCTTCATACATACAAGTGCCATAATTTCACAAGAGTTATCCAATGTAGCCATGACGTGCCAAAAAGACGCCATGTCTTGTCACCGTTCTTGGAGATATTGGTTGACACTTAAATCGTTAAAAAAAAAAATACGAATTAAGAGTCGCTTGAATGTCGCTGTGTACCTCGTGTGCAAATGCCATCTTCATTAGACACCTAATATGTCTGGAATTAAATTCAAAATTTCCAATTCTTTATTATTAAAATATGTAAACAAGTGCAGTTTATCAAGTGAAGTCACATCAGGTTACATAATAAATTTGAGTGTTTCCGATAACTCCTTGAATTCAGAAAACTTCGATGAAAATTCATCGATGAGAAAACTTATTACCAAAGAAAACTCTTTAGGGACTCTTGATCCGTCTGGTTTTTCATCTAAATTCAAATTTGTTAAGTTTGGCAAACATTTGTAATTTTTGGAAACAATGGGATGCACCATACTTATCAATGTAATATCTGCCAAAAAAGCTGCTACTAAATTTACCAAATTTACCAATAACTTTCAGTTTAGCCCAAAAAGCGCGAATGAGATCTATGCATCATAATTATAACAGTTTTATTAGAGCCTTGAAGCTTTACGTTCAAATCATTGAAATGTTTGCGTATATACGTAAAAACCATCAATTTTACAAACCCCGCATAAGCGCGTGCGAAGATATGAGGTCACTATTTTTGAGAAGTATGTGATGTGCATTTGACCGGCCCTACCTGTGGTTATGTAATTCCACCCGTAGAATCCGAATTTGAAGTCCATATTCTTAATCGAAAAGGAATTTAAAAAATTAATTAATAATTAAGAACTTTTTTCGTCGATAGGGTGATTTGAAATTCGATGAAAATAAAAACATGCACCATACGAGACTGCTCTTCACTCAGAAACAGCTGCACGTTTTTGATGAAATATGGCACTCGGATCTAACTAACATTTGGGATATTTTAAAAGGGTTTTAAAATTCCATTTTGGGCATTTTAACGCCGTGGGGGTTCACTAGTTAAATTTCATTTTATAAAAAAAACATAACTTCTGAGCCTCTTCTTCTTTAGCAATATATGTACATACATATATTTTAGTTTTTCTTTTGCTGAAGTTCAAAAAAAAATCGCTCTTCTATCTTTTTTTAAATATCGCTTTATTTATTTCTCTTCTGCGCATTACAAAGTATAATTTTGAAAGTATAGCATATTTTGCATGCTCAGTATACTTTCTTGAAAGTACAGTAATTTTAATCACTAGCTGTTCTAAAAAACTGTATACAAAGTTTCGGAACTACACATCGTTCGTATTATTTATCAGATTATTCAAATTAAATAATGTCAGTACTCATTTAAGTTATAGGTTTTTCTCAGTGTATTTCAAATAGTTATTCATAGTCATATTTACGCTATATTGAATAGTTGCGTCATCTCAGTCTTGCCTCTACTAGCATTTCCTTTTGAAGGTTTCGAATTACCGCAATAGGCGTTTAAGTTGATTTAATCGAATATGTTTCAAGTCACAAACCTTTGAAAATACAAAGTACCGCTCAAGTTATAAAAAGATACTTAGATTTCGCATTACTTTGATATACCCTTTTTACGCTTAAGTTAAATGGCTATAGTGTGTGCCATAGTAAGTAGTCATCAGTCGTTTTCTATTAAATCTAGCGAATTTTAGATACTATCGGCAAATCGGTTCGCTATTCGTACTCGCTTGTTTCACTCGAATACTTTTCGATTACTGCATCCATAGTATCATACATATGAATATAAGTGAACTTTTCAGAATTTTTCTTTTGTTTTGCGTAAAGTATCTTTTATATCCCCAGGATCATTTCCATTGATTTATTTTACTTCCTTACTTATATGTAAATCTAGCGTCTCCTATTATTAAAAACTTTAATTTCTCATTTTTATCTTGCCATTTTCTTCTCTTTAATTTACCCTGCAACACCTCGCATTCAGTTAGCTGCCGGCTCAGTGCCATGCACATGCAGTATCATCTCAAATGGATCCCATTCTAGGTCCGATTCGGCCTTTACACGACCACCACCGGAACTGATCCCACGGCGTCCCATACTCGCGACACCAGCGCCGACTAAGCTGCTTGCTTGATGCAAAGGCACCATGCCCACCACTCCACCGTCTTCATACACGCCTGAAGTGGCGCCCAACATGCTCATAGGTGGCGGCATACCCAGACGCATGTAACGCATATGTTGTGCTGCCGCTGACTGCAGCTGTTGATGTTCGCTGACGATTTCTTGTATCTGTTCACGAGTTTGTTCACGCTCGTCCACCTTCTTGATGAGTATGTCACGCATGAAGTCCATGCGTTCAAAGTGCTCCCAAGTGGAGTGGAACGACTGTTGAGTGAAGTGAGCGCGACGCTCTTTCTGCAATTCATCCACATAGCGCTGCTTGATAATGGACCAGCGTGTTTGTACGAGACCTGTTGAATAGGGAGAGAAAGAGAGAGGGAGAAAATGGGCACGTATTCACCAGAAAAGAAAAGTTAGTAAACTTGGTTTCAAATAACCACGACATCCCAGCCACATTTTATACGTTCACCCCACTACTTACTTGCCGTCAGTCCCAACTCAGCCGCTACTTCCTTCCACACCGCCGACGTACGATTTTGCGCCTTTCGTTGCCCTGGCACAGCCTCTTGCTGTCGGCCCGCCCACAAAGGTGGATGCGCTTTGATCACGTCAATAATACGTCCGCGCATGCTGTTGTTCATCGATCCAGGGCGTCCCGGCTTGCGCATTGGTGTCGTAGTAGCCTCTACCGTTATAGCCGCTGGTGGCACAAGCCCGGTGAAACCAATAAAGGGGCTCGTCTCAACACTGATCTCAGTCTGAGGTGTTAGTGGCGTCGAAGTGAGCAATGATTGGGGTATACCGCCAAGTGACGCCAGCTGTTCATGCGTTTCTTGTTGTGGCAAAGGTGTCTGGACCAACTGCTGTTGTAGTTGCTGCTCTTGTTGCTGCTGCGTTTGTAGTTGTGGCGGTTGCGGTAGCCATGTAAAGCTACCACTTGGTCGTCCGCGCCCTTGCGTTTGTGGTGTGGTTGGTGTAGGTGGTGGCGTCGGGAGTGACACTGCAGTCGGGGACTGCAAGTGCTGTTGGCTGCCATCATTGGCCGCACCAGCAGCACCTACTATCTTCGCCACAGTGATGTTATACATGAAAGACATCGGTTCAAAATGTTCCCATTTAGTAGTGAAACGTTCCTTGTGCAGGATCTGGCGATGCACAAGATTGTGGTAGTGGTACTTCATTTGACTCCAGATGGACTGCAGTTTAACTGTTAGAGAAGAGGAATATGGAATGTTTTTGTTAGGGAGGCAAGTTATCAGTAAACCACAACGCCTGAGAAAGGTTCCAGGAGGCAGAAAATGAGGACTGTGATTACAATGCATTCTCAGGAAGTAGAAAGCTGGACCCTCCTAAGTAATTTCTATATTCTAAAACCAGGCATGGCAAGCCCAAGAGGTTTAAAGTAAAATTAACGCACAACCACATTAGATTGGCGCTCGAAATCCCGAAAAGTGCGATACTTTGCAGAAATTCACGATTTGTGACTAGGGATGAAACGATATCATGTAAAAATATCGGATCTAAAGTATCGATACCTACTCGTATCGGTACTCATTGTGTATTCCGTATTAAGTTAAATTTATTTTTTAAATCAGAAGTTAATCATCCTCTGGGAGTCCTGAACTCCGAATAATAAAATCTAATAATGTAGGAACTGAAAATAAATAAAACTCCGTCACAAAGCAGAACCATATGTTTAATGATGAAGCGTATTTACACAGATACATATACATTAGAAAAGATTACAAGTTAATCTTAATTAAGAAAACATTTATTATTAAAATATTTCAGCGAAAAAAGTCTTACTTTGTTGTACTTCCCAAGGGTGGAAGTTTTTCCAAATGGTTGCCAGTCAACCGATTTTTTGACGGAGTTATTGTCGCGCCTGCTTTCGAAAACAATCGTTCGCAAGGAACATATAGTGCGACTCTATGTGTGAATATGATCGTGCTTGTTTATACAACAAAGGAAACGCAGTTTACTGCGCTGGGTAAAAAACAGAAACGTAGTTTTTTATTTTCAAAAATTTAAAAATCTGAAATTCGTAATCAGCGAACCCAAAAATTCCCGAGTTCCGAGTTTTGAACCAATCCAGCTATTTTTTTTTTTCAGATTGATTGCCATTTTGGATCCGTAATTTTGAATTTTGTGAAACTGGCATCAGATGCGTAATGAGCGACCCCGGCAATCCCCTGGTAACGAGTTTGAAAATATTGAAATGCTTAAAAAGGTTCAGTATCAACGTTTTAGTATAGCAGTAATCTGGACTTAATCCGGATCAACCTCAATTGATTCCCGAGTTGATCCGGATAAACGCTGGCGTATTTTTATGCTTTAAATGTCCAAGACAGGTATGTAATTAAGGGAATATACCCTAGTAATTACATGTAAAAACATCATTTTTAGCTGCATTTTAACATGTCAAGAAAATAAAAAAAAATTGAGAACATCGGCGTTTTTATAAAAAACCGACCACCGCGACCTCTTAGAAAACTTTTTTTCAAAATGAAAAACCATATTTCTCTTCTTTTATCACAAATAACAATAATTTGAGGTAGCGTTTATGAATTTGCAAAAAAAAAATTGCTTGAACCACTCTACATCGTACTTATTTTTCGATATCTATTCAGTACTTTGTTGAAAAGTATCGATGCCAAAATTACTTGGTATCGAACGAAATGTATCGAGTATATACTTGTATTTACTCGTATCGTTTCATCCCTATTTATGACCCGCTGGTCTGCTTAAAAAGAGTCGAGCTGTAGTATTTCTTGCGTGATATCTTTATCGCTTTATCGCTCTCATCATTAAGAGGCATGCACTCTCTCTCTCTATTTCTAAACGGATCGGTTCAAGAGGATTCGTGGTGTTAAGGGAAAGTGCTTCTCGAGTAGAAATGAGTGCCAATCTGTCTACATGCTTACAAATCACGCAAGCCTCTTAAATGAGAATAACTAAGTAAGGAGTAGAACTGCACTAACGACTTTTCAAGCGTCCACCGCTTTACAGGCTTCCAGCACTGTATTCAGCTTTAGCTTTGGTATTGCGGAGTGAGCGCTGAAAGCCATTACGCCGAAAAGGCAGGTTTGATAGGAATATTCTGGAAGGACGATAGAAACACCCAAGGGATGGTCTGCATAAATCTGTTCCACCTTTCGTACTTTCCTGTTCTTTAGAACTAGCCACGACAAGATATTCAGGATCATTGATTTGCAGAAAGAGTACTACTTATGTATAAGCCAAATAAACCAAGTATGTACGAATGGCGTGGGGCCACACTTTGTTACGGAACCTTCCTCTAAACTTCATTTTTCGATAACCTGATCACTGTGGCTTCGCCGATTTTGTAGTTTCATCTACACTGGAAGCTCTGAGTGGCTTCGAATCGAATCCGAGATACTTCGGTCATTATTATCCTCGTTTCACTCAGCGCCCAAATGGATGAGCAGAGCAGACTTTCTCTTACTTGCATCCTAGGTTACATGAGTACAAATACATATGTATAAGACACTATATAACACCTTAATTTTTTTAAGTAAATAACCACCAAGCAGATTTTTTCTGGTAAGAAATGTAGAGTGATATGCCATACACACGTCACTGTATTTTACAAAAAGGGACCTAGTTCAAACATGCAAAAATTTGGATCCGAAAAGTGGAGTCCTTCCGAAAAAATAAGAAATGGTTAAACACCTTTCTTAATGTATTATCTTACCAATTTGAGGTATCACGGACCAATATAGAAGCCATGAGGAACCTATTCGATATATGTAGGATGTGACTCAAATATTGGAAACGTCAAATGTTCCACTTCCACTAACCATCTGCCTACTCTATACGTATGTATACATTAGACTGCAACACTCCCCATACAAAAAAATGGGTACTGTGTTTCCATTGGAATTTTAAAATCTATTAGATTTTAAGCCGTCCACCAAAATATTTCGAAAAAATATTAAGATTTACGTGAGCTGGACCGATTTGAAAATACCTCCAAAAATGGAGTTTTTTATGAATAAAAATAGTTTCTTAAAGATTTTTTTTTAATTCCCTCAACATAGTGTTATCTCTGTCTCACCTGTTGGAACGTGTCCGCCAAACTGTTCGGCTATCTCGTTCCACATGGGCGCGGTGACGCTACGGCACATATGCAGCTTATTATTCGAATCCCATATCTCTGGATACTTTTTGATAGCTTTTAGCAATTGGGCGCGATTTACGAATGGATCTTCTTTCGGCATTGCAGTGGCAGAGGCGGCTGGCGGCGATGACAATGAGCGGTGACGAAAGCAGACTTGCTTCCGACTGCCGACGACGACAGTAAAAAGGGCGTTGAGTAAACGAGTGCGCGCACGCGTAATATTGTGATATTGTACGTGTGTATATGTGTGTGTGTGTGTACGTGTGACGGTTTATCGATAAAAAGTATGGTTAGAATGCAAGGCAAAAACCGCTATTCACACAAAAAGTAATGGCAAACAAACACAAAAACAATAAATATGTATGGCGTTAGCAGCAGCAACGACACTTGAAGCAGCGCGAAAGTACGGCAAAGATGGAAATTAGAAATCACTGAACCCGGAACTGACTTTGCAACAATTAGTTTATTACTGAAATCCTTGTTAATTATACGCGCCGTATGACCGACGCCGTAACGCGTCCTTTGACATCAATTATCGGCGAATAACTGAATGCAGAGAGCGCGCGAGAATATAGTACGAATATGAATGCGAAAAGGCATCCAACGATTGGGGAAAATAGAGAACATCGACAACAGACATCGTACAAAAGCGTCTCAATTGCAATAAAAACAACAACAACAACAACAGCAGCCGCAGCGGCAGCGACAACAATAGTCAAAGTATTTTGAGCAGAAGCAAAAACACAGCAAAGCGTGCGAGCAAAAAATCGAAAAATGAAATAAGAAAAAAAGAAGAAAAAGAAAAAACCAAAAGCAACAGCCAACAGCCGACACACAGCAGCAAACAAAACCATAGCAAAGTGAAGCAAATCGCAATGCAAACGCCGCCAGCGGAGCCAACGTTGAAAAGAGTTGGTAATTCGGCATAAGAAGGGGCCTGAAAGAGGCAACCAAAGCAAAGTGCAAACAACGTATAGCAGCGATGGCAAAAACAAAAGGCAGTTAGTTACATGCACAGGCTGTTGGGGGAAGAAACACCATCGGGTAACTGAGGAGGTGCAGAGCGAATTCCGTATATAGTAACGGCGGCGAACACGAACAGTGGGTCGAGATGATAAACTGATTAGGTGAGAAGATAATAAATTTAGCGGAAGAGTTTGGAATACGAGGCGTGGCACCGTAACGAGAAAATGAGGACGAATGGATGGGTAACGCACAAAATGGAAAGCATTGGAAGAAAATTTTTAAATTGTATGAAAGGAAATAAAATAGTTATGAAACAAGTGGAGAAAAAGAAAGAGAAAGGAAAGAAATGGAATAAAACAGTGGTCGGCATTCTAACACATTCAAACGATTCACTAAGTGAGACAGTGTACTTTAAATGCATTGCTAAGCAGTGTTTCCGCGAATCATGTTTCCTTTAAAAAAAAGGGCTAAAAAAATTCGTTGTGGCTAAAAATGGTAGCCTTAGCATTTTGCTTACATACCTACACATATCTAAGTATATACGCAAACATTTTCAATAAGTAATGGTACAGAAAAACAATGTACTCTGGAAAAAAGCTATTATTGATAAAAAATATATAATTCGCCTCCGTTAAACCATTTTGACCGTTATTTTACAGTAACACAAATTTTAAGCGTAAGATTTTACGACGGTTAACATGTCTTGTGAGTCGCTTAAAAGTAACTAAAATAAAATATTCTGACACATATTATATTTATAACAGCTTTGGGAAACAGATGTTAGACGTCTCCTAAAAACCACCGTGCGCTGCCACCTGCGACAGCAACGCCAGCAGCAGTCGACGACGATGGCGGCCACTACGAATGTAACGAACGAAGCAAACATTGAGATAGAGAAGATATGGCGATACTGAGGGAGACATACGACCAAAGTAGAGACCATAGCCGGCCCAGAGTGTAAGCGCAACAGTGCAAAAACAACACCATTTCAAATCGACAAATGAAGAGAACAATCGGACAGGCAACAAGCTGGCAAAACTAACAAAATAGCAAAACGCAACCACAGCAGCACCAGCAGCGGAAAAACAACCAAATCTGCACCCAGCCAGCAGCCGGCGAAGCAGCTCCAGATGCCATACCAGTCGTGGCAGGGGCAGGTGGGCGGTTGCGGGCTCCGAATGCAAAGCAATCAAATAGGATGAGCAAAGAAGAAGAAGCCAGCACAGTGATAGAGTGGAAACGCTGACGCGGATAGAGGAGAAAGCGCTGTATCGCTCGAAACTAGCCAAAGAAGTATTGGCAAATAAATGTGGACTGTGCCAACCAGTGTTGCCAAAATTTTTTGGACCAACTGGCTAAATTGGCAAAAAATATCGACTTATAACGGCTAAATGTTTCAACTAAATTTCACATGTTTTATTAAATAATAAATCACAAGTAGAAAGACTAGTTCTTGAAGAGAAGTTGCAAGTTCAAGCTGGAAAAAATGTTTGCAATTAGGAAAAACATATGATTGTGGGACATGGTTGAATTTTTTGTCGACGATAATTTGAATAAACAAGTTAGTTAAATTTAATAATTTACAAACTTGAGCGATTTTAAAATGAAAAATGTAAGTTAATACTTGTTTACTTAACTCATTTAGGCAATTCCAATGATTTGAAAGGTACACGGCTGAAAAAAAGTATTCGTAATCAGAATACAATCTCAACCAGAGTCGATATAGCAAACCCGAAAGTTACGAACAAACCTATTGTCTTCCCAAAGTTTTGCTTTACATAGACATTTTGTGCTGCTCGGTTTTTGGAATTTAAATAAGTTCTCAGCAAAAAATTAAAGAAAAAAAATACATATAAAAATATCAGTTTTTCCCTTATCTCAAACCTTTAAGCGTCGGCAACAATGATGTTTTTTAGTTAAGGCAGAATTGAATATGCGCTATCTGGGAAGACAAAAGCTGTAATATTTATTCTATGTGTTGGCACTATATCCAAACACAAACGCGTGTTAAACAAACAGCGAAACAATTTGTTATTTTCAATTTGTTATTTTGGTAAATCTAGCCGGAGAACGGCTAAAATGGCAGCACTGGTCCCAACCGGTGAGGCGGCCGGTGGCCATGCAATCATCCAACTACACGGTCAGCCAGACGGCTTAGCCATCAAGCCACACAACTGACAGACTGGCCAAGTACGTATACAAGCGACGAACTGATATAAAATAACCAACATGTAGCAACAACAACGGCCATAATGAAAGTGTACAAATGCGAAAACGCACAAATAAGATTACAAAGCTAAGAAAATAAAATTTAAACAAATCAACGCAATCATTAAACTACTAAAAATAGAATAAGAAACTTTGCGAAACATAAGCATAGTAAAAAAGGTAGACAAGAAAGAAATTCGCGACCGGTAATTTGGGCCGAGAAGAGCGCACCAAAGCGAATTATGCGAGAGCGGAGAACAGGCAAACCAAAAAATAATAAAAAATGGTGATAAAACGCAAAGAAATAATTAGTATAGGGAAACTGAAGAAGAGATTAAAAAGAGGTATAAAAACACACAGTTGTTGCAGATGCACACATACCTACATATGTACGCATTAATAAAGTAGAGAGGAATGTAAAACAAGGTATTGAATTGCTGCAAAAGACACGGCGAAATGAGAGAAACGTTGGATTTGATGGCACCGATGACCGGCAACTTTGAAAAACGAGCATCGAATGCTGTGCAATGGACGCAGGCAGCAACCGGTATTTGTGATAGTGTGGAGCGGAATGAAGGGCAAAGTAGGGGGTGCCCAATCCACAACGGCAATGCATGGGAGTGCAATACCTACTCAAATAGGACCAGCAGTTGCGAAGCGAATGCACAGCGAACCAAAGGCTGTGGGAGAATGAATGCAAGGCAGGGAAGCCAACTTGTGGGGAATTCCCCGGAGAATTTCAGTTTGCATGGGGAATCGGGGAATGAACCATTTTTTGTGGGGAATTTCAGTTTACATTGGGAAGCGGGGGATGAACTGTTTTTTGTGAGGAATTAGGTGTAAGCAACTTTTTTTCTGCTTTACTAATTTCATAACGAAATAAAACAAAAAAGAAAGTCTAAGTTCGGGCGGAGCCGAACACTAAATACCCGGCGCAACTATTAAATATATGTTTTCCACGCTTCCGAAAGCTACCGCTACATGGTAAGCCGGGGTGTATTAATTTTGAGTAAATTAGCGTCCTTAAATTTCGAAATATTGAAGTTTCAAGTATTTCCGAAATTTACCGTTATATGAAAAGCGGCCGTTATTTTAGTCTGATTTCAATAATTTTCAACGTTTTTCTTTTATGTGGCAAGCACCATAACCGTACCGACTTTCGTACAAATTGGTAGAACGGTTACCGAGACACATATATGTGATCATAAGTGGGCGGTGCCGCGCCCATTTTCCAAAATTATATCACAAACATATTTCTTGGTTAAGAATTGTTGCAAGTATTAATTTTGAATAAATTAGCTGTAATATTTACTGATTTATCGAAGATTTCGTATTTCTCCAAATTACCGCTATATGGGATGTGGGCGTGGTTGTTGTCCGATTTTTAGAATTTTCGGCCATTTGGTTTGCTGTGCCAAGGCCAAGCTCTGTGCCAAGTTTGGGAGAAATTGGTGGAGCGGTTACCAAGATATATACATGTAACCATAAGTGGGCATGGCTACGCCTATTTTACAAAAATCTATAATATTCTTATTTTTCGTCTAACTCTTTATTGTAAATATCAATTTTGAGTGAATAATCTTCTGTAGTTACTCAAATATCACAGTTTTCGTATTTCTGAAAATTACCGTTATATGTGAAGTTCGCCGTGAAATGAGCCATACGCAGTTTTGTAGCTCGTTCAATTCTAGTATAATAAAGTTTCAAATAGCTAAACGATACCGTTAATTTATTAGAATTTTCTTTGTAGCATTTGTTTTCATATAACGAAGAAACACAATTTATGTTACATGGAACAAAACCGCAACACATTCGGTAAAAAAGGTACTTAAAACTTGCACTTTTTTACACTAGAATGGAGTGTACTACAAAACTGCATACTGAACATTTTTCTAGAAAATCTAATTAAAAATTTCGACATTTTTACGAAAGTTTGTTAAATTTTTCTAACTATTGCACAAAAGTTTTAAACTTGGATTTAAACGGTTATTGAACTATATTTTTATAAAAGTAACTCAAATTAAATAACAAAAAAAAAATGTGAAAACTTGTCGAAATTTGGTGGGACTTATTTTTTACGACCGCTGTATGTAAATATTGTATGTATATTCGTTATTCTTTATTTGTTAACAAACTTAATACATCAAAATACATATTTTTTTTAAATAAGGAGATATCCATGGGTGGGGAATTTTACGAAATTTCGGGCAAAATCGGGGAATTCTCAAAAATGAGTTGGCTACCCTTTTGCAAGGGAAGATAAAGAACAATGATGACAAATTCGAGGCGGACGTCTGATTTCTGAGCTAACGTGATTAAGAGAACCCTGATCACGCATTAGGAAAACAAAGCAGATAT